AAATTCCTGGCGAGAAAGATTTCACAAAACACTTGATTCAATCAAAATTCCTGGCGAGAAAGATTTCACAAAACACTTGATTCAATCAAAATTCCTGGCGAGAAAGATTTCACAAAACACTTGATTCAATCAAAATTCCTGGTGAGAAACGTCAGTGTCAAGCGAAATCCCTCTCTGTAAGCGTCTGGCTAGTTATTGCCTTCTTCGATTCCATACAAATGTAACCAATCATTACATTTATAATAATAACCATTATCCGTGCTGCACGTGAATACTTACTTTTCTAGATTGAAATAAATGAAACGGCTTGGGAAAGAAAAAACCCGAGGCAATCATAGGTTGCAGATTTATTCTAAATAGATGCTTTCAGTTATTCATAGGCCGGTTTTTAGCTTTCAGATATTCATATGCCGCTTTTCAAATGTTTCTAAAAATTCGAAGCCTCCATTAGGCTCTGAAACATACATGGTATATGGTGCCAGTGATATATTTGTATCAGCTAATCAGCATTTGATGCCTGATGCAGGGAGATTCCCGCAGAGCACGTTTACTTTCCAAAACATTTCCTGGTGAAATTGTTAAACTGGATCGACTTAAAAATAAGGACCAGTGGTCAGGATTGGATTAATATATGTAACTTAGGCGGTGGGAAATATGTGTGTGAGTGTATAGGGTGTGAATGTGTGGGTGTATAGGGTGTGAGTGTGTGCATGTTCAATTTGTAAATTCTGTGTGCATTTTAAATACATGTCGGTTGTTCGACTCTCTCTCTCTCTCTCTCTCTCTCTCTCTCTCTCTCTCTCTCTCTCTCTCTCTCTCACGCGCGCACATACACACACACTGTCCCACACACACACACTGTCTCACACACACACATACACTAGTTAAAACAGGAGTTAAACATACCAAACATTAGACCCTGACTGGCGTTCTCTTATGTATGAGTATAATAGCGGTGACGACAGTTAAGCAGATGACAATATGAAATCGAAATGAGATGTCTATTAAAGTTCAAACAAGAATGGAACAACAAAAGCTATACATCAGTGACAGAACTGGGTACAACTGACAAAGATGTAGAAGCGATTGTGACAATTCTGAATCAAATAATTCCGTACATACGTGTAAACAGTTAGCCGTAGAGAGGCTGGTTTTATTGATAACAAGATAAACGTATGTTTTTGCTGTAAGTTCTTTGTTTGATTTACTGCTCGTGGTTTTTACGTTTTGCCTTGTTTAAGTATATCTCTAGTACAATAGACTAGCACTACATTGGAACGAATGAAGTATATAATAGTCCGGTTAGAAATACACCAGACAAAAAGTGTTGACCAGAATTGTAGGGAAGTTAACAAGGTAAATGAGAATTCGACCAAGACAACAGTCTCTCGCAGTGATTGACTTTACAGCTCAATGCTGGGCCAATTGAGCTTTGTAAGCCATTAGTGTGTCGGGTTCCATGTGAAGATGTGTCGTGTGAACGCCATGTATGTATCTGTTCGTATCTCCTATAACGGGGATTAGGCCTCTGGTTTTATAGTAGACTGAATTCGCGAGATTCTGTCTAAATGATGTCACCAACACGAGTAAAGGGGTAAACTCCGCTCTAACTGTATAAGCGTATATGATTCCCAACTGTCATAATCGCCTGTGCAATTTGCACATTGATACCGGGTATTGGATTCAGACGTTGACTGTAGTCTTCACGATATCAAACAATAAATTTTCAGTTTATGGAATTGGAAGCCGCAGTGATGTAGCGGCCAGACGCTCGCCTGCCGATTCGAAGGTTGTGCGTTCAGAGCCTGACGAAGCCGGACCTTTTTTCTTTAAACATGACCTTGGCTCCCAGGTCGACCCAGCCTTAAACGGGTACCAGGTACAGTCCTGGGAAGTAAAGGCGGCCGACGTGATGTTGACCTTATCACCCATCGAGTGCTGATTGGTCTATAGAATATAGGTCTAGCCTTACATGCCCAATACGCCTAAAGGTGTAGACAAGGTGTCTTGAACTTTACTCTATGGAGTTGGGTGACCACCTCCACTACTCGTGTCATTGTTTCGTGGAAAAGAAAACCAGTTCTGTATGTACAGTGACATGTTTTATGTCATCGTCATCACTGTGATCGTCGGCTCTGTGGCTAAGTCGATACGAACGATTCGTAATGCCGGGATAGCGGGTTCGATCCCAGCTGCTGGCCATGCGCCTCGCGTTGGTTTCGACAATGGTATCAAGAAAGCCGACCGTCCAGTGGCAAGGGCAAACTACTGGACGTAAATTTGCCTAGAAAAACCACACAACAGCCAGGGGCTGATGGGGTTGGTTCTGCAAGGTCCTGTAAAGGATACGCAACGAACCATCACAGTGATCAGCCTGCCAGTTCGATAGTAAACAGATGATAAACTGTGACGAGAGAGCTCAACTGAACAAACTCTACAGACACAAACAATTACAACCGTAAGTTTCCGCCAAAGTCTTTATCAACGGAGTACTAAATACAGAGCAAGAGTTGACTAGAAAACAGAACAGACGACAAAGATTATAGGATAAACTGTTTATCTGTGAATCTTTGCTGTATTATTTTCGCATAAACTAAGTCGGTAGGTTAAGCAAGCGCCAGATTCACTTGTCCGTATGTGTCTTGATGAAACTCTTTAACCTGATCCAACTGTTTTTGTTTTTAATTTGGTTTCCGACTTCTTCAGTATTTATAAATAAAATAAAAAATAATGTTGTCGCCTCTTCTGGTATATCTTGCGGCCTATGAAAAATCTATACTGAACTGGAAAAGATAACATATTTAAATACACTGTTTTGTTTTCAAGTTGCCAGCGGTATCAATGTATACCCGTTTGCAGTGTGACATTGTTCTTAAAACAAACTTCTTAGAAATGATATTGCTTGCGCCTGGCTGTGTCCGACACTGGCTTGCTGGACTCGACGATGAGAATATTTGTTCTTTGAGATTTAATATCCGTTTTATATGAGCAAGCAAGGCCGTAATATTTACCCGAACATAACAAAGCTGGAAATTCAGGTCGCCTCAAACTTACACAGTAAAATTATTTATTCGATGGCTTAATAAGAGATACATTTAATCGGGAAACAATTAATTGCAGCCGCAGTACAACAAAGGTTATCACACAATACGCGTTGAGATACTATGGTTTTAATAGATATACATACACATATGATTTTCTAGGTTGAATACTTTACCTCTGTTGATATTTATATGGCAGTTGAATATATTTAATCACGTTTGTAAAGGAGTCTTTGTATATGTGATACATTTCTTCTCCTTCTTCTTCTTCTTCTTTATCTTTTTTTCTTCTTCTTCTTCTTCTTCTTCTTCTTCTTCTTCTTCTTCTTCTTCTTCTTCTTCTTCTTCTTCTTCTTCTTCTTCTTCTTCTTCTTCTTCTTCTTCTTCTTCTTCTTCTTCTTCTTCTTCTTCTTTTCTTTTTCCGTCCGAGTTACGTAACAGCGATGTGACTGTTTACGGCAGAGCTGCGATATTTGTGACTCTGTGCTGAAACATCCGATTCATCGAGCACTCGCTGATAGGGAATTCTTAAAAACAAAAATGGATCTGGGTTCAGAGCTCTACCCTCAGCAAAAAAAGGTGGCAATAAATGAGGGAAGTCAAGGCTGCCGGTGTGATACAGATGCCACCCCATGCAGATTGTCTGCTTATTAGAATTTGTTTAGAAGAAATTATTTCTTTAGCGTGAACCATGTACCAACAATAAAAACGCTGCAGGATACGGCAAAAAGGTTTGTATTGATGCATTAATTTATCCAAAACTGTTTAAACATTGCACGCTTGATTACATTTAGAATGCACCATTTATTCACATTACACAGATACATATAATTATTTATACTGAAGCTTTGGAATAATTTATGGATGTTATTCATTTAATAATATTCCTCCTCTTCTTGTGGGCGTTGAGCAACCGCGATCAGCTGTACAGGCCGGCGGAAAGTTCTGGTTGTTCGTCCACTGGGGGACCTTTGTCTTGTTCCAGAACTTGAATTTTGTGTGCACATCCGTTTTACTGATCTTACTTATGATAGTCATAGTTGGTTGTTTTAATATGACATAATTAGTTGGTTAATTATAAGTCAAAGGAAGTCGTTTTCTGTTTCTTGAAGACTATAAATTTGTGTATTGAAATAAATTTATAATAATGATGATATTTGTTTTAACTTTGGCTAAAGGCTTTAACTGTGTCGCCCTCTAGCTAGAATAAAAACAGTTTATGCAGTTTTCTTATTTCGATCCGATTTCCGTGTCTAGGCCTCTTTGCACTCCGATCTTGAGTGCCGGACTCATGTTTTAGGTGTCCAAATTCAATTATATGTGCATCAAAACTGCCTTTACTCCCGGCTCCGAGACTTTGGTATATATTTTTAGACAGCTAAAAGACAGGAATACATTTTGAACATTCGAATCTATAGCTATTCACACACTGGGTCGGCCAATTTAGTTTAAGACAAAAAGATAATAAATATTGGAGAGGATGTGAATATTTCCTCCCTTCATTCTAGTTTCAAAATTAAAAACTTTAAAACGACATTAGAAAGGCTAAACGGCGGTATCAAAAATAAGATTATATAAAACTCTATTCCTTACGTCCTTCTTAGGACGTTATTTTTTGTTATTTGAAGCCCCACTCTGGCTTTTGCCAGGGGCCGCAATATAGGCAGGTCATCATTATGGCCAAATGTCTGAACGCGGTTTCTGGGACCTCTCCACGGTGATCCTCATCCGCATGGTGGCACTTTGTGTCATCGGGTGTTTATCGCTTGTGTGATGTCCTGGTGGGGTAAAAAGCCAATCCAATCCGAAGATTTGCATAGAAACTATAGATATTCATCTAAGAGTGCAATAACCCAGATGGATTTATACTATTGATGGGATTTTGAGTTGGTTATTTCGAGAATATGAAATGTGACATTGGCTCCAGATGGAAAACATAAAGATGGCGTGATGGCTTACCTGTTCTTGGTCGCTGCTGCCCTGTCCCTCTGTCGTCGGTTCTTAAACCAATTGCCCACCTGTGTGGGTGTCAGGCCCGTCGCCTGAGCCAGCTCCCGTTTTTTGGTCGGGTTGGGATACGGATCTTGCAGATACCATTCCCGGAGAAGGTTCCGCGTTCGCTCCTTAAAGCAATGAGTCTTTTGTTCACCGTCCCAGATGGTTCTGGGCAATGGGTACTTCTTCCTCACTCGGTATTTGTCCACTGGGCCCAGCGGCCGTCCACGCAGCTTTTCGGCCTCCTGGTAATGGGCTTCTAACCACATGGCCTGTAGCTTGGCGTGCGACTCCTTGGTGAACTTATGGTGCTCCAAGATGTGGTAGAGGTCTCTGAAGTTGCCCGTGTGGAACGAGACCAGAGCGCGAGCTCTGATCACAGACTCGTGTTTGTTGAGAGCTTCACAGGCGCTGGGGTTCACAGGTAGTGACCACAAGAAGCGGCCCAGCCTTTCAATATCCCCGGACTCTTCTAGGGTCTCACAAACCTTAGCCACTTGGTGTGGCGTGAAATGTAAAGTTGGTAACGGCAACATAGCGGGGATTGGGCTTTCCAAGCCGTACAATCCAAACATTGCGTTAGCAGGGAACGCTGCTGGGAAGCCATTGGGAAAACTAAAACTGGCTGCAGCAGCTGCTGCTGCGGCTGCGGCTGCTGTAGCTGCTGCTGCTGCTGCAGAAACAGACACAGACTTAACAGTGTGTGGCGGTGACAGGCCCGCAGGCATGGGCAACTTGCTAGTGCAGCGTAGATCCATCCATTTAGCGTAAGAAGAACACTCGGTTAAAAAAACAGGATATTTCCCTAGCGATCCAGGCAACACTTGGGCCAGCGAATATGATGGTAGAACCTAGTGATGGTGTATGTTATACTGTCACAATGCTATCCGTAACAGAGAGTGATACACAGAAAAGGAGGCGGTTCGGTTCAAGTAATATTATGTCCCGCCAAGAGAATGAGCCTTCGCTGACACCGCAGACGAGTTTTCAACATGGATTGATACAAGACAGCCCCTTGACAAGCTCCTCGAGCTATCATTTGCCGCTGGTCCCGCCTGCCGCGTGTCGGATGCTACACATGTAGCCAATCAGAACAGCTTCTCCCACGTCACTCAAACAAATCTCCCTCGTGAGACTCCAGGTCTGCTACCTCGGGATAGAGATGTCAATTCCTACCCTCGCTCTGCGCTCGGACTGGCTGCAGTCATCAGAATCACAACTCGGGTTCACCAACAGCTCCCGAAACAATTCTGTATTCACCCGCCATTAGACAGTAGCGGATAACTCGAGCTCGATTTGTTTCATTCTCAATACACACAATCATTCCGCTCACGCTCATGAACCTCTTCCGAGTTTCATGCTTTCCATAGACGAGTGATTTTTTTTTCTCTCTCCTCGCTCACACACAAACCGAATTTCTTCAATTTTTCTAGAAGTGTGTCATTGTTTTCTACATCGAAAGTCTCTTTCCGGATGAGTAATTCTCACCCCTGCAACATCATTCTATTTGTCATTCACGGAGGTAACAATTAGGCCGCATTTCGGCCGCTAGTATTAGAAGTGAGATGAGATGCAGAAAATCATTCGATGAAAAGAACTTTTAGATTTTTTTTTTTTTTTTGGGGTCTAGAGATTCAATATACCAGTTGTAAAAACTTCATCGTAAGTATTTCAAGTGTACGTATAGGATAATGAACACACACATAAGCACAGCGTAATAACAATATAAGATAGGTTTGCAATGGAGTGGTAGCTACCGATTTACATTCATTGTCTATGCCATAGGTTGATTACACTGTCAATGAAATATTCATGCAGGCATTAAAACAATGACAAGTTTACTTTGGATTTTATGTTTTCCAAATTGAAAATTTTAAAGTGAAAGCAGCTGCAGTAGTAACATTTGTCCTGATGTTAGCAGCTGTAGTAGTAACATTTGTTGTGGTGTTAGCAGCTGTAGTAGTAACATTTGTTGTGGTGTTGGCAGCTATAGTAGTAACATTTGTCGTGGTGTTGGCAGCTGTAGTAGTAACATTTGTCCTGATGTTAGCAGCTGTAGTAGTAACATTTGTCCTGATGTTAGCAGCTGTAGTAGTAACATTTGTTGTGGTGTTGGCAGCTATAGTAGTAACATTTGTCGTGGTGTTGGCAGCTGTAGTAGTAACATTTGTCCTGATGTTAGCAGCTGTAGTAGTAACATTTGTCGTGGTGTTGGCAGCTGTAGTAGTAACATTTGTCGTGGTGTTGGCAGCTGTAGTAGTAACATTTGTTGTAATGTTGGCAGCTGTAGTAGTAACATTTGTTGTAATGTTAGCAGCTGTAGTAGTAACATTTGTCGTGGTGTTGGCAGCTGTAGTAGTAACATTTGTTGTAATGTTAGCAGCTGTAGTAGTAACATTTGTTGTAATGTTAGCAGCTGTAGTAGTAACATTTGTTGTAATGTTAGCAGCTGTAGTAGTAACATTTGTCGTGGTGTTGGCAGCTGTAGTAGTAACATTTGTTGTAATGTTAGCAGCTGTAGTAGTAACATTTGTTGTGGTGTTGGCAGCTGTAGTAGTAACATTTGTCCTGATGTTAGCAGCTGTAGTAGTAACATTTGTTGTAATGTTAGCAGCTGTAGTAGTAACATTTGTTGTAATGTTAGCAGCTGTAGTAGTAACATTTGTTGTGGTGTTGGCAGCTGTAGTAGTAACATTTGTTGTAATGTTAGCAGCTGTAGTAGTAACATTTGTTGTAATGTTAGCAGCTGTAGTAGTAACATTTGTTGTAATGTTAGCAGCTGTAGTAGTAACATTTGTTGTGGTGTTGGCAGCTGCAGTAGTAACATTTGTCGTGGTGTTGGCAGCTGTAGTAGTAACATTTGTTGTAATGTTAGCAGCTGTAGTAGTAACATTTGTTGTGGTGTTGGCAGCTGTAGTAGTAACATTTGTTGTAATGTTAGCAGCTGTAGTAGTAACATTTGTTGTAATGTTGGCAGCTGTAGTAGTAACATTTGTTGTAATGTTAGCAGCTGTAGTAGTAACATTTGTTGTGGTGTTGGCAGCTGTAGTAGTAACATTTGTTGTGGTGTTGGCAGCTGTAGTAGTAACATTTGTTGTAATGTTAGCAGCTGTAGTAGTAACATTTGTTGTAATGTTAGCAGCTGTAGTAGTAACATTTGTTGTAATGTTAGCAGCTGTAGTAGTAACATTTGTTGTGGTGTTGGCAGCTGTAGTAGTAACATTTGTCGTGGTGTTGGCAGCTGTAGTAGTAACATTTGTCGTGGTGTTGGCAGCTGCAGTAGTAACATTTGTCGTGGTGTTGGCAGCTGTAGTAGTAACATTTGTCGTGGTGTTGGCAGCTGCAGTAGTAACATTTGTCGTGGTGTTGGCAGCTGTAGTAGTAACATTTGTCGTGGTGTTGGCAGCTGTAGTAGTAACATTTGTCGTGGTGTTGGCAGCTGTAGTAGTAACATTTGTCGTGGTGTTGGCAGCTGTAGTAGTAACATTTGTTGTGGTGTTGGCAGCTGTAGTAGTAACATTTGTCGTGGTGTTGGCAGCTGTAGTAGTAACATTTGTCGTGGTGTTGGCAGCTGTAGTAGTAACATTTGTTGTGGTGTTGGCAGCTGTAGTAGTAACATTTGTTGTGGTGTTGGCAGCTGTAGTAGTAACATTTGTCGTGGTGTTGGCAGCTGTAGTAGTAACATTTGTCGTGGTGTTGGCAGCTGCAGTAGTAACATTTGTTGTGGTGTTGGCAGCTGTAGTAGTAACATTTGTTGTGGTGTTGGCAGCTGTAGTAACAATGCTGGTGTTAGGTGTAGTGGTGGTGATACTGGTGGTAGTAGTAGTAGGAGCAATACTAGCAGTAGTAGCAGAAGTAGTAGTGGTGGTGGTAGTAGCAGCAGCAGTAGTAGTAATAGTAGTATAAGTAGCAGATGTAGTAGTAATATTAGTAGTAGTAGTAGAAGTAGTAGTAGTAGTAGTAGTAGTAGTAGAAGTAGTAGTAGTAGTAGTAGTAGTAGTAGTAGTAGTAGTAGTAGTAGTAGTAGTAGTAGTAGTAGTAGTAGTAGTAGTAGTAGAAGTAGTAGTAGTAGAAGTAGTAGTAGTTTCAGCAACAGTAGTAGTAGTAGTAGTAGTAGTAGTAGTAGTAGTAGTAGTAGTAGTAGTAGTAGTAGTAGTAGTAGTAGTAGTAGTAGTAGTGGTAGTAGTAGTAGAAGTAGTAGTAGTAGTAGTAGTAGTAGTAGTAGTAGTAGAAGTAGTAGTAATGAAAACGTAGTCCATGTAGCAAGAGAACACCACTGCCAAATGCTAGGAATGCTAGGAAGCAGCCACAACAGGATAAACTATTCTAGAATCCAACAGAAACAAACGCAAGCAGTGCCAACAGATGGCGACAAGTGTTGCACGTATGTCAACAACAACAACAACAACACACCTGAAGGTTTGCTATAGTTCACTCATAGCTGCCTGTGTCAATATTGAGGCTCCAACCTTTTCCACAGTGTGATTCTTGTACTATTGTCCAAAAACCACGAGAACTATGTTGTTTTTGTTTTGTTTTTGTTTTGAAATCCATCAGTGACAGAAATGTAAGCCTGGTGCTTGAGTGTGGTGACACTGTTCAACAGATGTATGCTGGGAACAAAGGAAACAACAAACAGAGGACAGGTACAATGATTATAATTTGAACGAGTGGGAGGAAAAGGGACAGAGAGAAATTGAGAAGGGGAAAGCAGGGAGAGGGGGGGGGCGCAAAGAGACAGGATAACAGAGTTCGAAAATGCAAGGGGGGGGGGGGAGAGAAAGATGAACAAATAAAGACAGATCGTCAGAGAGAAAGAGAGAGCGATGACAGGGAGAGAGAAACAAATAGACAGGTCGTCAGAGAGAGAGAAAGAGAGTGAGGACAGACAGAGAGATAGAGAGAGAGAGAGCGATGACAGGGAGAAAGAAACAAATAGAGACAGATCGTCAGAGAGAGAGAGAGAGAGAGTGAGGACAGACAGACATAGAGAGAGAGAGAGAGAGAGAGAGAGAGAGAGAGAGAGAGCGATAGAGAGATAAAAAGTTGACGAAAAAGGACATTTTGATTACATGGAGCGACATGGCGAAACGTTTGTCTGCCAGGTGGAAGATTGTGAGTTCTAAACTACCAGAATGTCTGCTTGTTTAAATAACTGAAGACAGAGAAACATTGAGACATGTAGGTAGTGTTGTAGACAAAGATTGGTGAAAACATACACATTTAAAAAAATAGTGAACACAAAGATTAGTACAAACATAGACACATTCAAATACAAAGACTGGTGAAAACATAGACGTATTCAAATACAAAAGACTGGTGAAAACATAGACGTATTCAAATACAAAGACTGGTGAAAACATAGACACATTCAAATACAAAGACTGGTGAAAACATAGACACATTTAAAAATTAGTGATAAAGACAAACATAGGCGAAAACTTAGACACAGTTTGGTAGTAACGAAGACGAACCAGGCGAAAACTTAGACACAGTTTGGTAGTAACGAAAACGAACCAGGCGAAAACTTAGACACAGTTTGGTAGTAACGAAGACGAACCAGGCGAAAACTTAGACACAGTTTGGTAGTAACGAAGACGAACCAGGCGAAAACTTAGACACAGTTTGGTAGTAACGAAAACGAATCAGGCGAAAATACAGACACATTTAAGTGGCAACGAAGAGAAGTATGAGCCAGAACATAGACTCAGTAATGCAGCAATGTGGACAAAGACTGGTGGAAATAATAAACATATTC